GCACGCTAGCTGTTGCACACATGTGCAGTGGACATTATTTTACTCCAACAATCCGAATGGCTGTGTACATGCACGTCAATCGGAATGATGATAGGACAAAACCACCTCTCTTGTAGGGCTGGGGGGTAAACGATTATTTTTGAAACGATTATTCTGGCGATTATTTTATCGAATAGTCGACTGTTCTAATGACTATTTAGACAATTAATCTAATGATTATTTTTCTATTGCACAGTTAATAAAAACCAAAAAATCTAATAAATTCCTAAAAAAATTGCTAAATTGTTACTGTAAGAGAAATAACACTACAGGCCTTCCATTTTGTATAACACTGCTTTTATTGTGTTGGTTGGTTATGTTCTGGTGACATGTAGAACTTGGGAGTGCAGGCTGCTGCCTGAGAGGTGGTTGGAGACGGAGTGTCTCCATGCTGCTTTGTTTTGGTCACTTATGTGCGTGTGGCGAGTGGTGTTACGACTCTTCCTGGGGAGTTTGGCTCGTGTGCAAAAAGGAAGGGACAATAACGTGGGATTTAAAAGTTAAAATGATCAGGTTTATTTACAACTACAAAAAAACAAAAATCCATCCACAGGTTGGGAATAACAAAACTAATTCTGCCTGTGGGGAATTAAAACAAAAGTACAAATAAGTAAGGATGTCCCACTGGGCAAAGATTAAAAGGTTCTGGACCAAAACAAGGATCTCCTAAGGTCCAAACTCTAAACTGGGTGGTTAAACCAAACTCAAGGTGATATTTTAAACTAAACCGAAAACCCACAACACACTAAATGTAAAAAAAGCTTTTATGTTTTGGTTTAGAGTTCATCTTTTTTGTGGTGCAGATCTCCCTTTTATGACGTCAACGGCTGGATTCTAAAAATTTGTCGACGTCAGATCCGGTAGTCGACGCACCGCGCCCACTTGTTGCATCCCCAGGAGTTTGTAAATAGAGGAGGAATCTGCCTGTTTTTCCTCTAGTTCGCCCTCTTCTCCGCCTTCACTAACATCTCCGCCAAATACCAAAGACCCGGAACAACGTCCGTCCGCTACTAGGTTCCTTTCGTGTTTTGCCCGCCTTCGTCTCCCGGCAACGGACAACAACTTCCGGGGTCAAATGCGCTGCTCTGTCTCTACCGCAGATGCAGAAAATCACCGGGAGCGTTTCTCCCTTCATAAAGGAGCTTCTTTCAGACATGAGGAGAGCTGTTTTGGTGCTAGCAGTCTCTCCTCCGTGCTGGTCTTTTTGCTGCTGGGTGTTTTTGGTTTATTTAAACTTGGTAACTTGAACTTAACGTTGGTAAAGCTACTGTTAGCATTTTCGCTAACAGCTTCTTGCGTTTGGATAAGCTGTTACGTTTTGGTTTAGAGTTCATCTTTTTTGTGGTGCAGATCTCCCTTTTATTACATTTAGAGCAGGGGTGGGCAATTATTTTTTCCATGGGGCCACATGAGAAATAGAAAATATTGTGGAGGGCCGCAGGCCAAAAGGCTGAAGTCAATTATGCATAATATTAATGGTATTTCTTTATAAAAAGCAGTAAATACCATTGTTTCTTCAAGCTGGTAAGAGTAGACTATGTTATAAATGAGCAAAAAGGAAAAAGTGAGGTTGGCTTACAAAAATGTGATTTATTCAAATTTCCCAAGGCAATGGTAAACAAAGTGTGCACATTTGGTTTTTGTTAAACATTTGTGACTTATATTAGTTAACAGTTTCAGTCACATTCACTCCAAAACACATTCTGAGTTTCAAATATTGTTGGAAAGAGGTTCTTAGCATTCTACAGACACACAGTATTGTCTGTAAAATAAAATCACTGAACTGTGATCTTGAGAAAGAGGTTTAAAAAAAGTGTCCCAGTTCACTGCTAGTTGCCTACATTTGTGGTCCAAACACCTTATTTTGTGTTTTTAAGCAATTTTTTTCTTATTCAGTGAGAGAAATCTAGTCTCTGCTGGGCTTTAACGAGTGCATCAAAGTCAGGTTGAATGTCTGAGGTGGAGAAGCGAAGCACAGCTGACAAATGATCATCAGTGAGAGAGGATCTTTACCTGGATTTTGTAAACTTCATCATTGAAAATGTTTGTTCACAAATGTAGGTAGAGCTGAAGAGAACCAACATCTTCTGAGCATGTCTCTTCAGGTTTGGAAAATCCTCCTTAAGAGAAGAGTAGAAATCCAGCAGAGATCCTGAATCTCTGCTTTCGAGTCCCAAACCCTCTTCAGCACTTTCCCCAGGCTGAGCCATCTGACAGCTGTGTGGAGTCCTCCACAAGAGCCACAAACTGTCTGTGATCCATTGCCCGCGCCCTGATGAAGTTTATTATTTTAGTAACAACATCAGTAACATGGTTGATTTTTAGCACTGACTTGCACAACACATGTTGGTGTATAATTCAATGCAAAAACACCTATTTTTGATCTGCATCGATTTCTGTCACTTTATCTTGCATGCGTTTCAAAAGTCCGACATTTTTCCCTGTAAAGCCGGACGTACACTGTGCGACTTTTTCACTCGCAGCACTCAGCTTCAGCTCAAACTGTACGACTTCCCCGCAGAGCAGATCTCACGAGTCATGTGCTCACACTGTACGACCCAGTTCTCGCATGCGACCTGACTCCTCACACTGTACGTCTGGTAGCAACACGTCGGCCCTAAAAATGTGCTAAAAATAGCAGTTTTTACTCAACACGTTAGACTTTTTTGTCTTGTTTTGCTTGTTGTCCTTCGGGAGTGCTGCTGGAGGACACACAGGGATTTATGGGGGTTGGATGAGGAAAACGAAATAAAGAAAGTAAATCTGTGTTTTGTGATCAGTTTAATTTGACATGAACACGACAAACACACTTTCTTGACAATCTTTGTGAGTAAAAAAAAACGTGTAGAAACAAAAACGAACAGCGTGTGTTATTAGGGAAATAGCGAGCGACAAGCGTTGATGCATGATTGCGCGCGCATGCGCCGTGAGTGGTTCTGATACTTTTTGGGTCGCAGCTGCTCGCAGCGCCGCTTCAACAGTGCGATACCCTCACGGGGGACGAGCGAAATATTAAACACACCAGAGTGCGACCTCACGACTGCTGATCGGCGGCTGGTCACGTGGTGTTAATCGCCTCTCGTAACCCCCTGTACACTACACGACCGCTCGGCGCAAAACTCGCCCCGATGTCGTGGCTTCTCGCACGACTGGAAAATCGGCTCAAAAAAGTGAAAAAGTCGCACAGTGTACGCCCGGCTGTGACAGTCTCTCCCATTTCAATCCCAGAGTGTCCGTGCACGCATTTACCTCTGTAAAAAGATCACTCCCTGTCGTTGTCCCTCTCATCGACCGCATTGCTGCCCGCTCCTCTGTGAGCTTGAAGTCCGTTATCCCCGGACAAATACGAGCAGCTGGGCTGTGTCCCGGACATCACAGCTCCCGTCTAATGAGAAAAAGTCAAAACTTGCCACTTCACGTTGCAGCTGAAGCTCCAGGTTCCCCGCAATGTCCTCGATCCTCCTGGTCACGGTTCGCTGTTTTTAGCTATTTTGTGGGATATCACAAAGCTGGTCCTGGTTGCTGCATCCCTGGATGTGTGAAGCTTAGTAAAAAAGCCTTGCTGCTTTTGCAACTTTGCTAGCAAAGCTTCGGATGTCCGTGCCCTCTCAGCATCAGACAAGTTCTTGTATTTTTCCGAGTGTTTCTTGTCGTAATGCCGACTCAAATTGTAGTCCTTAAACACGGCAATCTCCTCCCCGCAAACCAAACACACGGCTTTACCTCCGACTTCAGTAAAAAAAATACTTAGCAGTCCAATTTTTGTTGAAAATCCTGCATTCGGCATCTTTCTTTCTTTTTTTTTTTTTTTTGCATGAGCGGACATTTCTCAGGCTACAATCACCATGTCAACCGCGGGCACTTGTTGCTATACGTATTGCGTCATTGTGCACGTAAAATACAACTTCAAAATAAAAGCAATGCAGCCTTAGCCCATGCATGAGGTAAAATGAGAAAATACATTTATTTTGTAATTTCCAATTAACCTTACGCGGGCCGGTCAAAGTCAACCAAAGGGCCGGATGTGGCCCGCGGGCCGTAAAATGCCCAGGTCTGATTTAGAGTGTTGTGGGTTTTCGGTTTAGTTTAAAATATCACCTTGAGTTTGGTTTAACCACCCAGTTTAGAGTTTGGAACTTTGGAGATTCTTATTTTGGTCCAGAACCCTGTAATCTGTGCCCAGTGGGACATCCCTAGTTATTTGTACTTTTGTTTTAATTCCCCACAGGCAGAATTAGTTTTATTACTCCCAACCTGTGGATGGAAAGATTTTTTTTTGTAGTTGTAAATAAACCTGATCATCATTTTAACTTTTAAATCCCACATTATTGTCCCTTCCTTTTTGCACACGAGCCAAACTCCCCAGGAAGGGTCGTAACACCACTCGCCTCACGCACATAAGTGACCAAAACAAAGCAGCATGGAGACACTCCGTCTCCAACCACCTCTCAGGCAGCAGCCTGCACTCCCAAGTTCTACACGTCACCAGAACGTAACCAACCAACACAATAAAAGCAGTGTTGTACAAAATGGAAGGCCTGTAGTGTTTATTCTCTTACAGTAACAATTAATCAATTTTTTGGAGGAATTTATTAGAGATTTTTTGGTTTTTATCAACTGTGCAATAGAAAAATAATCATTAGATTAATTGTATAAATAGTCATTAGAATAGTCGACTATTCGATAAAATAATCGTCAGAATAATCGTTTTAAAAATAATCGTTTACCCCCAGCCCTAATATTCTACTGCACCAATGGGGGATTATTAATCTGATGATGCTGGAGACAAAGAGAGAATTAGAATTTTGAGACTTTTTTTTAAAATCAATATCAAGGTGTAAAAGAATGTTTTGTTAAATGTACTGTGCACTAAAATCTCTGAGGTCAGGTAAACAGTGGTTTACTGACTTATGGAGCATAAACTGGCCTGTTTAATTAACTTATTTTTTCTGTTTTAACAGGTGGACAAATACCTGCAGAAACTGATGGTTTCAGATGAGATTCTGATGGATTTGTCAGTGAGATTCAGGAGAGAGATGGACAAAGGCCTATGTAGAGACACCAACCCCACGGCTGCTGTCAAGATGCTGCCCACTTATGTGCGCTCCACCCCCGATGGAACAGGTAACACCAAGGGCTCTGTTGAAAAAATTGTTACTCCTAAATATCCATGAGGATCGATTCGTACGTCCAAAGATCGATTTAACCCTTTAAGCACCAAAGTCGCAACATTGCAACAAGTGTCATAGCTGACTGTGACAAGCCACAGCTGCAAATTTGATCCCACATAAAGTCACAATTTTACACCAGAAGATGGTGGAGATGTCTATCTTCAGTAGTGTACCGATCCATTAGTTACGTCTTAAGTAATGACCCATGAAGTATGAGATTCCTTAGGAAATATGAAATCAATTTGGGTAGATCTTTGAATATTTCTTTAACCAGAAGATCGGAACTTTTTATTGCAGGGATTAGATAACACTTCTTATTACCCCAGAGACAAGAGAGAGAGTCAAGTTTTAAAGTTTAAGAAGATTTATTTCCAAACAATTTAAACAAGACTAACTCTAAACACTATGTGTATGATGTAACTAAGGTGGAGTAAGACTGAGGATGGTGTGTGTGTGAAATATGTTCAGAACCAGCAAATCCGGAGAGACTATTAGTTCTGAGTAGGAGTGAAATGGTGTTTCGCTCTAAGCTTTGGTTTGGAGATTATTACACACATTGAGACGCCATCTGTCGGTCTACGTACCCTAACGGAAGTCCCCGTTTGATCCGGAATGTCGGGGGTCCAGCTTGGATCCTCTTGGAACCGACGCCTGTAGATATGCAGCGGTTGCTGACCCTTCCTGTTGGGTATTTTATAATTGTATCTTTTTGAGGCCTAAAAGATGCCCAATTTGTGTTATGAACACTTCATGAATCTCTGTGTTTGCCAACTGTGGCTGTTCATGAAAGGTTGAGCAGAGTAGCTCGTTTGCAGTCAAGGATGTTGATTGTGGATTTCCAGGATGTTGATTGTGGATTTCCAAAGAAACCTCTGTACCTCTGTAACCTGAGAAGGCCCTGCCTTCTCCATCCTTTGCTAAATAAAACCCCTGGCAAACTGAGAACACGGGGGAGTGACGTGGGGAAGTCTCGGAGGAGGCTTCCTCTGCGTTGACTCTCCATTGGTTTGGGTTCTCAGGGTAAAATGTCTCCCTCGTTGTCATAAGTGTTTATTTCAGGTTCCAGGGTTATGGAGATTAAATATTACCTAACCTTTAATTAACTAACATTTTGGTTGGAGAATGCGGGCAAGCAGAGCTGGTGAGCTGAAGGCTTTCCCCAGGAACAGAGGGGGGCTGGTTAGCTCCATGGAGGGGTTTCTGCGCCCAGCTCTCGCATGACGATTCATGGACATTACGAATAATCAATCTACTCTCTCTCTGTGTGTGTCGTCCTTTAAGGTAATATGGGATAAATGAAAAATTACCTATCACTTCCAGTCTTGAGTTACTCCCAGGTCACGACAGTTTATTGGCATCAGCGAGACCCTGAAGGGGTCCGTGATGGTTCAGCTTTTATTCTGAAGGAACCGTTGCAGCAGGTGGAACATGCAACAGATTTAATCCAGCTTGTCGTTAGGTTCTTTCATCTTTAAGAGGACAGTTACGGATTGGTCACTCCGATAACTTCTCTAGAACGCTTTGAACTGAAGTTAAGATGACGTGGGGCATAGTTTTATAATTTTGATGTTTTGATTTACTGTCGAATCAGAATTTGACAACAAAGGGGATTATACAAGCACCAACAAAACCACGCCTCGCATCAGATCTGGAAGGTTCTGATTGGATCAGAAAAAGGAAATGTGTCATGTGACTTTAACATTACGTTTGATCAGTCTAGTGTAAATATTTAAAGTTATATTACTTATTATATACAATCATAGGATTATAATATCAAGTAATTAATATTCTTTTTTCACAGATTGATTGAACATTAGGCTTCACATGATTATTTGGACTAACAAAGTTATTTGATTATCATTTAAAGAGTTCTTGATTTCTAAAAGAGTTCTTCCTGGTCTTCTCTCTTCTTTCTTGTGCTGTCCGAGGAAGCAACAGTTTAGATAAGAGCACAGAGCATGAGTGGCCTTGGCCCATATCTTGTAGATTAGAAACTTATGGTTTTGCTTGGGCAGAGCAAATAGAGCAGGGTCTTTTAGGTCAAAGATGGACAATTCATCACGCTACAGTAGTCTGAGCAACACTTATTGATGTGTTTATATTGAAAGTTTCTGAGTTTTTAAAAGTTTGTAAACCAGCTCCTGCCAGGAGGCTCCCGGTGGAGAGGAGGAGACGAACGCAGCACACGTAGGGCGAGTATTATAGGGAAAACCTTATAATTGCTGACACGGCTGGTCATTGTTGACTCTCTTTGTCTGGTAATGACTGACTCGACGATTCAGAAGAATATTCACTCATCCAGTCAGAAACAGTGATGCCGCTGTGCGGAGCAACAGAGAGCGCGTGCTTCACGTGAAGAAAGTAAGACTAATGGTGCTGAAACGTTCCACACGCCAATTAGCTGATTCTGAAGCTATCTCACCTTGTTCGGGATAGGGCTGTAGTCAACCAAAGAAATGCTTAGTCGACCAAAGTCCAGTCCTGCTCAATGATTAGTCGACTGGAAAAAAATAATAATAAAAAAAGACACAACCTTTTGTATTTTGATTGAACATTTATTAAACAGTTGTCATTGAGCATTTATAAAACGAAAATTGAAAAATACATCAATAATAAATCAATAAAACTATAACTTGAATACAAATCTTAATACAAATTAGGGCTGCAACAAACGATTATTTGGATAATCGATTAATCGGATGGGGTCTCGACACGATTAATCGATTAATCGGATTACATAGGGACATTTTTAAAAACTGCTAGGGAAACGTTATTTTTCTCCTTCCTTCACTTTATTAAACACAGCATTATTAGAAAACAGTTCAATAGCAGAAAAACAACATGCCATCACCTAAATTGTCTTATAAGGTGTATAGACAGAGACCCTAAGCTACACCTATCTGTGACCTAAAATGCTTGGTCCAAGTTAAACAGCTTAAAGAGCAAGTCAACCCCTACCAGAGTCTAACTCCACTCCTGCTTTATGTTTGAAAAATGCAACACATGCTGTTGCCTGGCAGACCGAGGGGGCGGAGCCGCTAACAAATACACACACACTCAGGCTCACGACAGCATTGTGACATCATAATGTACCAGTTTACATCATATCATACTTCTTAGCCAATAGCGGTGGCAGATTTAAATTAAAATACAGTGCAGAGTTTTTACCTGACAACGACACAACACTGCCAGTTTTAGGCAGAATATTTAAATTTTAACTAAGATGCACTGAAGTGCCAAATTATTGACGACACGTGTCTGCAGCACGATTAGACACTCGTTTATTTAGTTTATCAGCAAAAAAAAAGTTTATTTGGGGGTGACTTGCTCTTTAAGGGCAATTCTCATCTGTTTTGTTTGATCTCATCCGTAGACATTTATTATAACTGGGGATGTCAAACAACTAATTTTTAAATGAAATTAAACATAGGCTGTGAATTAATCAAAATTGATCACTATTTCCAAAAAAGACTGAAAAAATACCAAATAAAACAAAAGTAAATGAATGCCATCCTCCTTGTGATGATGCCCTGGGCAACTGCCATAAAGTCACATCAAGAAATGCTGCTGATCATTCCAATGATCCCAAATAGACTCACATTAGGCCACATGAAAGCAACTGAACCCAAAAATATATTAACCAGTATATAACTGCACTCTCACACAACACGCCTGCAGCAACAGTTAGGACTCCTCCCTCCCTTTTAAAAGCGTTTTCGCGTCTGAGGACATTGCGGTTGTAAAACCACATGTTAGTAGTCTGGCCCCGGTGTGATCAACCAGTTTCTGCGGGAATGTGACGGCGGAACCGGTTCGCAGCGGCGCGAGTCCCCCCCCCCCCCCCCCCCCCGCCTATCTAATAGCGTCGCGCTTACAATTTTATGGACTTTTTTTACGAGCTTAGGGCATGTCTAGCCTGTGTAATAATCCGGGGCTTGGATGAATCACTTTTGAAACGTTTTTAACTTACCCGGACACCGAGCTCTCTCCTTCCTCGCTGATGATTCTGACATGCTTGCGTTTAAGACGCTGCATCATCACCGTAGTATCCCCGTGCCATGCTGTCTGACCTACAAACGTTGAATGTATTCGCCTGATTTAACTGAAAATGCTCCCAAACTTTAGAAGTTTTTACTTTTTTGGAGTCTCGCTGCTTCTGCCATGTTCCTCTTACAAACACCTGCCGGCTCTCCACCGGTCTGCGCGCAACGGCGGGCGGGAGGGGAGGGGGCTTTTGGAAGAGTTGTGCAACACAACAAATCGATGACGCAATTCGTTGCCAACGCTTTTAGTAATCGATTTTCATCGAATTTATCGATTCGTTGTTGCAGCCCTAATACAAATTAAGTGATTTTTTTAAGTGCAAGGGGAGGAGAGCTGTCCTAGGTCTAACGGCAGTCAATCGCACCCTGACCACACGCACACACTGCAAAAAATATAACTGCCAAATAGAAATTAAAAATTCTAACAAAAGCTCTTGTTTATTCAGGCTTTTGTTTTAAAAAACACAAAAAATCAAATTGCCAAAAAATATTCCTAATAATAACAGGCTGTATAATAGGGCAGCCTATAGATTTGTTTTCGTTTTGTTATATTATTTAGGCTATTTTCAAACAAAACATAAGAAAATATAATCTATAAATGGGTCCGCTAAGGTCCATTACAAATCTGTAAACTTAGTTCACCTTTTTTATGTTGTGGGCCAAAAACACCAACATGCCCACATTCTTGGGTAAAAGACAGCTCCTCGATTTATTAATAATAAATCCTGCTTTGGAGAATATGCGCTCTGGAGGAGTGGAGGTTGCAGGGATGCAGAGCAGGCGTTTGGCTGCCCGAGCAAGTCATGGATATCTTTCCTCATTATTTTTCCACCACGCAAGTGGCCCCACAACAGTGTCCACTTTACCTCTGTCCTGAAGATGATCTTTCATTTTGTCGCAAGAGGATCTT